CTCAGGACCGCGTTTGACCAACAGCGGGCTAAGAAAGCACTCACATTGCCACTCACGTACGAACACTTGAAATTTGACCTAACTCTGCAACCAGAGCAGCTGGAGTGCTGAAACTTTTTGGGCGCTACCCAGGACCGTGTTTGACCAACAGGGGGCGAAGAAAGCACTCACGTTGCCACTCACGTACGAACACGTGAAATTTGACGTAACTTCGCAACCAGAGCAGCTGGGGCGCTGAAACCTTCTGAGAATCACTCAGGACCGCGTTTGACCAACAGCGGGCTAAGAAAGCACTCACGTTGCCACTCACGTACGAACACGTGAAATTTGACCTAACTCTGCAACCAGAGCAGCCGGAGCGCTGAAACATTTCTGAGAATCACCCAGGACCGTGTTTGAGCAACTGTGAGCAAAGAAAGCACTCACGCAGCCACTCACGTCCCAGGCCTCGAACGAAACCCGCCACATACCTCCCCCACTTCCACCATCACATTCAAACTGCCGCCATCCGCTGTGGGGCAACCCTATATGCCGTCGGGAGAAAAAATTTTTTGTAGCTTGTGTGTGAGACAAGCCGAGTCGAGCCCAGTTTTTGTAATTACCGCCATGAACTCGCCTGAAAGAAATTTTGGCAGGTCCGTACGCGGGTACCACGCTTACCCGGAGGCTGGGTTTGAGCCCACTAATACCTACTTGGACGGGGAACATCCCCTAAGATTTCAGCTTTCTAACTTCTCAGATCCCCGAGTTACAAATTATCCGCAAAAAACTTTGGGGGGCATGTACGCGGGTACCACGCGAGTGGTGGCGCCCATTTTTGGGACTGGGGCCCGTACGTGCATGTAAATTAAGTTCTCAAAGTTCCAGCCCTGCAGCTTTTGTAGGTCTTGAGACGAAAAACCGTGACAGACGCACACACAGACACACAGACACACACACACATACAACCCCTCGTCAATATGCGTTTTCTGCACTGCATAGCTGCAAAAAAGGCATTAAAAAAGGAAAACGAATGTTCAGACGAAAACAATTAAGACGAAAACTCAACTTGGAATAAGTCAGTTTCTACAAAAGCATAAACTGCTTACAACACGACTAAGCATTAAACCTATAAGAAGTTTTCCCGGGTCAAAAAGTAATAGTCGTCTGGGTTTCGGTGAACTCCTCTAAAGACAAGTGACTACTAGACGAAACGAGCTTTTGAAGCTATCAAACTGATTACCTTCAAAGCTCTTTGATTTTTGCGCAGGAATTCCGCAAGCAATAAGAGCGTATTTGATAAAATATTTTCCATCGAAATTACCAGCGGACTGCACACGATCGCTGTCAATGCCTTTACGGTAACCAGACGTGTCATCTCATTGCGCAGCCGGTCCAAAAATATCGACAAACAAATTGGCAACTAAAACATCAGCAAAAAGTGCATCTCAGTTTCAGAGGCCCTTGGAAAAATAAGCTGAACAAATTGTACAGTCGAGAAGTTTGCATTACCTTCTCCTCTAAATGATCACCAAAGGTTGAAATGAGAAGGCCAGCCGCTGTTATCGCTTTCTCTTTCACCTCCTGCAAAATCACATGAACAGGCTAGAAAATTCTGCACGGAACACAGACGCTGGGTGATATGTCTTTTTATACGAGAAGCACTTTTTTTTTTCTCGATCTTATCATCAAAGCAAATAAATAGCAGCGCGCACCGGAGGAGGCGATGCGATCATGCGTTTTGTACAATTCTGCCCACCGAACGATAGAATGCTTATGATTTTCACTGCTTTGCATTTTGATCTGTAGTTGATAAGTAGTTGAAATGCTGTTTGTTTCCTAAGTTTCGGAATTTCCCATTAAAAATTTACGCACCGGTACGTGAAAGCTGAATTTGATAGTTCGAAGGGCGAATATCCTTCCATAATTTCAGCCTCCTAATTTCCTCGCCTTCAAGTGATTTTTGCGGCAAAACTTTCACTTTTTCGTACGTTACAGCCTGGTGTACTTAGCAACTGAATTCGAATTTGTAAACTCCTGTTTAAGCAGGAAACATCCTCTGAAATTTTTGGCCTCCTAGCTCTCTTCTGGCTTTAGAGATAATGATTTTCCTCGCCAAAACTTCCACGGGAACGTTAAAAATCTGCGAAGTTGTATGCAGGCAGGGAATGCCACGCTAAAATTTCAGCTTTCTAGCCTATGCTGTTCACGAGATAAAAATTTCCTGCCAAAATTTTCACGGAGCCGTACATGGTATCCAAGGGCGCGTGAAGGCTGAGTCCAAATTTGTGGGGCGGCACATTGGTAAAGGACATCACCTTAAAATCTCAGATTCCCAACTCCCGTGGTTCCCGAGATAATAATCTTCCCTGCCGAGGCCGTAAGTGATACTCGGGTATGCAGGAAGGCTGAATCAAAATTTAGGCGGAATTGTATGTGGGTAATAGACATTACCGCAAAAATTTCAGCTTCCTGACTTTTATGGTTCCCGGGGTAATAATTTACCCGCCAAAATTTTCACAGGGCTGTAGGTGTTACCCGAGGGCGTGAGAACGCTGCACCTGAATTTGCGTGGTCATACATGGACAGAGGGTCATTACCCTGAAATTTCAGCTTCTTAGATTCTGTGCTTCCCGAAATAATAATTTACCCGCCGAAACTTTTACGAGGCCGTGCGTGTCACCCGTGGGTACGAGGACGCTGGATTTAAACTTGCGGGGTTACACGTGAGTGGAGAACACTATTTCAGCTTTCCAACTTTTGTGGTTCCAATGACAATAATTTTACCCGCCAAAAAAAAAAGTTTTACGGGGCCGTAAGTGTTATCCATGGGTATGGGAAGGCTAAATTTGTATTTGAGGGGTCACACGTTGGCGGGGAACAATCTGCTAAAATTTCAGGCGCCTAGCTTTTGTGATACCCGAGTTGAAAGTGCGGAACAAAACGCACTCGGACACACACACACACACACACAACGCCGTGGAAATATGCATTCATTTTGGCAGAACAGTGCTACCTGTATCACTGACAGGAACAGAGGGTCCATGCCGAATCTGAAGCTAGCAGCACACTGCCAGGCAGGCACTGCTTCCCGACCAGCATCACAAAGTAATAAAATGAAATGAGAGAAAGCTGCTCGCCTGGTCGATATCGGTTGAGGTTAACTTAGCGATGACTGCATCATAAATGCTGTTGACATACGGTGAGCAGTCGATTTTTGCCGACTGAAACACGCAGGGGCGCAGGACGCGGATCAGTGATACTGTTACTGTTAGTGCTTCAGCGGCCACTTTGTAAAACGGTTCACCAACTGCTCGAACAACAAGCGGCGTCAACATGTTCATGTGCTTGTGCAGCATCTGAATTTTCCACATCACTTTTCGAAGAACAGACAGTGACAGGGCAACCCAGCGTGGCCCCACATCCCGTTTGAAATACTATGCACATATACAATCCCAAAGGCACAAAATTTTCAGCGTACAGACCTCTGGGGGATGTGTGCAGAGTGCGGTTGAAAGGAAAGTGAGCGCGTCAATCTTCATATTTGTATCCAGTGAGCGATCGTTCATTGCTGCCGACACGCTGATCATCAAATGGCCCAGCTCATCGGAAAGCGAGCCCGGATATGTCCTGAAAACTGACTTCCAGTAATGTACGTAAATGCATCACGTGCGCCTCGCTTCCACATACCTTCAGCTGATGGCAGTACAGCCGAAGGCAACTCGCCGCCCTGCCCTGAACTTCTGCTGCTCACACTGCTCCTTCCGAAAGTGTAAAATCGGCGTTACTACCAACACTAATGCGAAGAAGTTGCAACATGTACCGTAGAAGTTGTGTAAGCAGAATAAAGCATGACTGCCTGGTGCGAAGCACTTTGCTGCTGAATTGCTTGCTGATAGCCTTCACAAGCAACGGGATCTGAGAATCCAATGCCTGCAATGCTGGCACTTAGAAAAAGGTACAGGACGGCAAGAATTTCAGTGAGAGAGCGAAATTTCAAAATTATCCAGTAACCTGAACAATAATCTGAAACAAAAATTTTTTTTCATAAACAGCACAAAATTTATGTGTTTCTTCAGTACTACAGATCCAAAATTAACATAAGAACCTGTAGTGCGGCGAGTTGCTGACCAGTCACAGCATTTCGTAAAATCACGCCACCCTTAAGCATCACCGTTTCTGCACTGCTTTTGCCAATTCCATTTTTCTCAACCTGGAACGACAATAATTTGTTTTGCACACAATCGTAAGCCATTGCGAGAAACTATTTTCACTGCAGCACAACATTTCCAGGCTCTTATGCGTTGTCAAAAAAAGGAAATTCGCCGCTGATGCGATTTTGCTAACTCAAGCCATAACCTTACTCGTCGAGTGCCCAGTTAACAAACTCTACATTACCAATTAGTGAATAAACAACTGACGGAGTGGATTTTGCCCGAAACTAAGCGAACTAATCCCAGCTGCATGGGTTCTGGTCAACAATAACACTGACTGAAAAGTGTCTGCTTTGTGAATGCAGGCTCTTACATAAATAAATGGAACATACAGAAGAAAGCTCCGAGAAATTCGGAATGAGGTTGCGGATCTGCGAAAGCAAAGCAGTATATGCATGCATGATATCCCACTTCACATTGTCCTCTCGTTCTTTAAAACGGCTAATTAGCAGTGGACCCAACGAAATCAGGTACTGCACAGCTTCATCGCGATGCGACAAAATCTAAAAACAAATTCTTCGCGAATTCTTGCCGATATAACTGAAACCATTTCCTTTCAGCTAATTTTACTGCGAAGAAAAACTGTTGGAGAGGCTTGGATAGATTTAGCTATACGGTGGTTTTGGAATGTGCCGCTTGCTGAACGCAAAGAAAAAGTATTGAAATGTGCTCGTAAGATTATAAGA